GGCTCTCTCAGAAGTGTGGCTTTGTTCTAAAATACTGAAGAATCATCGTTGTTCGACTGTTAACGTAAATATATCGCCTGCAGCGTAGGGCTCATAACTTGATCCACCACCGGCGGCTATTAGCGACACAGAGTCTTTGACACATTGGTCGACATAATCACTGCGCAAGGTGACCCTACGGTAATCCTGCAATTTTTTCAAAGACGAGGTATTATTGAACTTCGAGAGAATTACTCATTGTGAGCATCTCTCAGGATTTTTGGCGCTCATGTTTTTTTTTACTTTGGTGTTTTGGTGTTCCACCTTTCAAATGGACTTATTGAATATTTCGTAATGCTCAATGGCCCTAAAACTAAAATTATATCAATTCTGGACTTGGTACCTTGAAGTAAATATCGCTGCTGTTACTTACTTTTTAGCTTCGTTGTAGGAATGAAACCTTGTTTCAGTTATCATGTCATACTTCTTTTTAATCACTTGAATACCCTGTAATTCTCATCTAATAATGAAAGAAAAGGAACATAAAAATAGGCGGAAATATCTTTTCAGGTGAGAGTTATCCCTTGAAAGCTATAAAACGAAGTGATATGAGCTTCCTTATCCACCCAGTTTCATTCAGCCAGATATGCATTCAATCACCTCTAAACTATGCTTAATGAAATCGAATGCATGGCGCATCCTTCAGGGATTGATCAACGCCGAGAGTCTTATCCTTTATCCTTTATGAGTTTCCTCGTGATTAAGTGATAATAATACTGCAATAAAAACACAGGGAGATGACCATATCTTCAAGATCGTCAATAAGATTAGCCTATTTCTTGTTACCACGTAATTACTTCATATGTCTACTTCTCCGTTAAGAAATGAGTGTTTTTTCCTTCACCGTCGGTGAAAAAGTTAATAATTTAGGTAACCTTGAAGTGCTGCTTTCTCTTTATAACATTTCAGCTCAACTTTAGACGTTCCTTGTCAAAAATGGTGCTTTCAGCGTCATTTATCAGACTGCTCATTGCGTCGTCGTCTGTATACAGTGATTCATTTACGAATTTTTAGTAGCTGATATTTGTTCCGACAGATCGTGAAAAAGAATACGAAAATGATCGAATAAAAATCCATTGAAAGATACGGTCTGGGATGTTCTGTAGTTAAGTCGATTCACGCGACTAATTGGCTTCACTATGTGCTAAAGAGTGGTTTGGTGAACTTACACTTCGTAAGAGATAGTGATTTTGGTAGGACATTGTTCAAATAACTTGCAACGATTTCAGAAAAGCTCAAGTATTCGTAAGAATAACATGTGTGAATTGAGTTGATAAGTTCATTGTTCGTGTTAACGGGTATTTACGGCTTAATTTGTTCATAGGATCTCGTGAACATGATTATATTGGAGAAAATGATGTTCATGAAGAACGATTGCGCAGTAGTAACAATACTGGATGTTAAAGGAGTGGTTAATCAAAATCTCCTTGTCACTGTTACTGGAAGGAACAACCTTGCCCTGAAGACTCCCCAGTCGTCGTACTGTAGAAATGTGAGCATTTTTTGCACTTAGGATTGCTTTTTGCTAACGGAAATCGAAATTGCGTCCGACTCTTTCATTTGATAGTCATGGACATTGTTTCCCTATAACATATCGTGCTCAAAACTGTTGATCATTAGGTGGACAAATGGTGAAATACAACTCACTGATATCGATATACAGGTGGGAACTATTCCCGCAATACTTCCTTGCACTATTCTGATTCGTTCTATCATTTGCTGTCTCAAGTAGCAATTCTTGCCGACACCTACTCCGTAGGGTCCTTTTGCATCTCCCCATTTCTATCTAGCACTCCAACCATCTGCACACTATATCTTCACCTCCTCTTCTCGACTGTTGCTGTCTGTCATTTCTGCTTACGACATACAGCCAACTCTAGCCACCTCATAGGCTCACTCCATCCCCAAATCAACTGCTGAGCGCTGGATGCATAACAACAATCTGTTTCCCTTCTGCCCGACCATACTTCATGGCCAACAATCTGTGGCATCATTATTCATCTGTCATATCACCATAATACTATTGTAATAAGATACTTTACCATCTCTAATGTGTCTTATTGTTCCCCATAATATCTCCACCTGTCGGTCGCATCATTACATGTATTTCTACGTTATGATCCCGTTGATGCCAATCCTCTATTAAAGAGGATAAAAGGGTAAAGCCCTCGGCGTTGATCAATCCCTTAGGGATGCGCCATGCATTCGACTTCATTAAGCATCCTTGGAGGTGATTGAATGCATATCTCGCCTTTACAATGATTCGCGGTGGCCTACCGATGTATCGAACCAGTGCTGCTCTCCTTCCAGACAAGTCTGGTACCATTTTGCCGACTCTGGAAGGATGGAAGGCTTGGTAGGCCAGGTGCGTAGCAACGATCCCATGTGTATTGCAGGGCACCGCCGACCACTGTGTCACACGCGCCCTGTTTCGCTATTAGTATGTTCTCATTGCTATAAAAGCGTTTAATTACCCAATTTTGATATCTCTTCTTACGACAATAACCAAGAAGACACTTGTGGTAGGAAATATCGCACAAACGAGCAACTTCGCCATGTGCACGTCATCTCCCAGTTCAGTAGCTAGCCCCACTATTGCGTACATTTCTAAAAGAGATAGGTGCTCATATATTTAGTAGTAGATCGGTGAAGATTTGATAGCTTCAGTTGCTTTTGGTGTTCATAGTGCTAAGTAAGAGTCGTGCATTGATGTAGTACGGTGCAATTATAACATCGCTATCCTACAATCCGACTTTAGTAGAACATCGGTAACAGTAATCAGCAGTGTCCTTTATGACTGAGCTAACACGAGGTTGGTATAAATTTCTATTCGGTAAGCATTTCGTCGCCCTCGCCTTCCTCGAGCCGCATTGATCCGAGTCCATGATCTACAACAAGTCAACATGGCGATGTGGATGCTCGTAGTCGCATCGAGCTTAGTATTGGCTTCTTCCTTACTCCTTGGTTCTGTTCATATTGCATTACTGTTCTGAAGATTCTGGATTTTGGTTTTCTTTAAATGTTTTTGATAGATGTAATGAGTGGTTGCCACTCATTGTATCGGTTGCATTATTTATCAGTATACGCATAACTGCTGCTATTCATATGCTGCTTATAAATATTTTGTGGTAATGTGATTGCAGTATGCCGTCTCCATCCCGTAAACCCTCCACATCCAATGAAAAAGTCTTTCCTTTGATCATCCCGCGCTTGGAAGAAGATGTGGCAGCAAGTAGCTGCTCTTCCTTCAACATATTCAGGATGATTAGTTAGTATTTATCGTTTTTCTTCCAAAGTCCGAGATATGGAACGGCGGAAATTCCTGGTAAATATCATAAACAACCTTGCAGTAAACGACAGGCATCGTGCTAAACCCAGACACCCAGTCATTGATTTGGAGGCAGAAATCTTGACCGAAATGCAGAATGCTGTCGCGGAGAGCCCCGCGGCAAAAAGGAGAAGGTGTGCAAGCTTTATGGATCGTTCCTACTTTCTTTTCGTTTTACAGTCTACAATTTTGTCCACGATATTAATGAATGTCGTGATTTACTTCTATATTGTGGTATAGCATCTTGATTTGGAAAGGTTGAAAGGTTAAATTGTTCAGCGAGGACTTGACGTCGACCAACCTTGCAGGTAACGTCATCATAAAGTCAGAAGGTTAGTTCAGTGCTATAACGGTAATAATTGATCTATCCCCACTTTTATTTCTCAGTGTGAGGTAGTAAGCGAGACATTGTCGAATGCTGTTCGAAATTGCCGAATCCTTTAGCGATCGTTTGCATCACCTCACAGCATACAAATGTTTATCACCAGGAAATTTTTTAAACGATAGCTTGCGGCTCAAAATACTGTACGGCCTATCGTAGTTTCTAGAATTAATTGCTTGGATTCTCTAAACGGTGTCAACATTATTAACCTTTTATTTTACGTCTACTATAATTTTTCACGGCAAGGTGTGATGTGAATTACAACCAAACCGATGCTGAGCTACTCGGAAAAATATCCGGAAAAGAAATCATGGTTCGATCTGGCCCGGGGTCCAAGTTTTGCGAATATCTCAGCATCGTTCTGGTATCAGCATTGTTGCTAAACCCATTTCGACGAAACAGATTGATTCCATGAATGCTCGCTGAAGATGTTCGTTGCTTTTACCCGGTTTTTCTTCGAGTTCCTTGTTTCGAACACCGAAGCGAAGGAATAGTGGTGATTTCACAGGACAGGACGCGATAGTGTTTGTTTTTTGTAGATTTAATTTTTAAGCGAATTTAAACGTTCAAGGAAATTTGACTGCACCCTTACAGCGGTAGTTCAGGGCTTCTTCAATAGAATTCCCTCGCTAATGGCATAATGCTTATGAATATATGTTTGTGGTCTTTATTTTGGTTTTAGTTTAGTCACCTTTTACTTATTCTCTATTTTTTTTCATGACAAGGTATGATGTGAAATATAACCTCAGTGATCTCGAGATATTTGCAAAACTCCAGGCTGCAGGTGTCCGCAATGGAGATTGAACCAGCTATTACCCTTTCAGGGCGCTAGCGTGTTCACCACCGCATCGTGAGGGTCCTTCGTATCCTGCCACGAAAAAAGGATAGGCAGTAAATCAAAAGTGATTACATTGTGTTTTATACTAAAGCTTCAGCTTAACTAGGTTCAATGCTGATTTGTGCTTCCCAGTTCAATCCTTTTGAAGGTGATTGCTGATAGCACCTATAGGTTACGAACGCCGCTCAGAGGGAGCCGAAACGGAGGACCCGCATGGAGTGGCGGTGAAGAGGTTAGCCCCTGAAACGGTAATATCAGGTTTGATCCCACCGCAAACATTTTTATTTCGGAGTTTCGCAAGTAACTCGCCACTCACAGTAACTCACAGAATCATTGTGGTTATAACTGTGATCGTCGTTCTGGATTTGACTACCCTTTTATACTAACGATAATTTTTAGATGAAGGTGAGGCGATGCGGCCCCAGTTTGGAGGAGACATTAACGTCGGTGAAATTGGTTGGTGTTTACTAAAAGTTTCATTTTTTAGACGTGCAAAGACATAGCAATCAACTTGGGATAATCCCTATTTAAGTGTAATTGTGATCCTTGTTTTGGCTTTGGTTACCGTTTTATACCAACGATGATTTTTAGGTGAATATGAGATGATAGGACTTGAAGTTGATGAAGCTGTTATCGATGTGACTGATGAGAACAGTGAGTGTTTATTAAAAGTCTCATTTTTTGGACGTGCAAGGGCATAGCGGTCAGCTTGAATGGAAAGATAATTAAACGAGGATTTGCAACTTGTGGAGACATGTGTTGACTGCATACTGTGATGTGTTAGTACGTGATAGAAAAAGCGCCTTCGTGGGAAATTGGATATTTGCATGGTTCTCGTTGACGCTTAATTATACTTCTGTTTCATTTTTTCTAACGGTACGTAGTTACAGTGTCTCCTGGTGGCACGATGGTGCATGGTAATGACGACGATGAGGAGGGGATCTGTTGGACTGGTTTGACGGCATTAGGTGAAGTAAGTGTCCTGCACGCCTAGTGATCATTTATTTTACTTGATGCTTACATACTTATCTGCAATAATGGTTTGAATAGGCAGCTAAGTGGTGTCGTAATAGCTTAATTGTGATGATAATAATATTCTGTAGCAAATACATGATGCAGTTAATTATAGACAGTATGCATTTTTATGTGCAGAAGGATTAAATTTAAAACTAATTGGAAACTCGCATTACATGTAGCTGCACCCTATCGCTGATTGGTTCAAGATTTAGGTTTTGTGAATTCCTGCACGGAGGCTAGATTTATTTCTTTCGCATAATTAAGCACTTGATTTCACAGAAAGTGCTTACAAGAGCAGGTTTGCTTCGTATCTTTACAAATGGTATTATGTGACGTTAATGACCTCTCTTGATCTATTATTATTAGTACTAGGTGGTCGGGTGACACAGTGCTTGTGAACCCGTTCATTACGCGGACGGCCCAAACCATCCAGACGCTGATTCGATGCCACCCTGTAGAGGCAAGCCTTCGATTCCTCTGAGCTCGGGAAACTGGTAGCAGAATTGTCTGGAACAAGTTGACACCCTCTTAGTCTGGTAGGAATGCTCTAGCAGACTACCTCAGGATTCCAGGGAGCATCAACTCGACCAGCATTCATCGGCATTTATGACAAATAATAGAGAAGTGTCAAGCAGTAGCCAAAGCCACAAGCAGGAAGGTTTGAAGATTTTCGTGGATGTTGGAAGGGAGTGGACAACTTTGACACAAGAAAGGCTGGGTTCTGCACGGTGTGATAAATGTGTTGTTGGGATATGTTATAATTGAAAAAATAAATTAGGTGACAGGAGGGTCCTTTGATATCATCTTACCTTTATCACCTGCAGTCCCTTTGATCGTCTATTGACTTACGCGAGTCTCGGTATACCTTCCATTTATCACTGTCGCACATAGCAGTAGCCCAGTGGGTTCTGCTCGCTCTAGGGGCTTGCTAAGCCCCATATCTAGCGTTTTTGTGAAGAACTCTGACCAACGGGTCGGTGATCCTTCTGCAGCGCATTTAAAATTCCGGGGGATTCGTCACTAATTGCTCTTGTTCATCGGAATCGTTCATAAGCATTACGTGTCCTGCCCACCTTGTCTTCGACTGTATGGCGTGCAGAACGGGATCCTTGATTTTGATCACCGACGCAGGTCAGAGCTTCGGGTCCCCTCCTTTACTAATGTGACACGGGATACTCCTAACGTCGTTCTTTCGACTGCGCGTTTAGTAAGGCTGAGCGATCTTTCATCCTCATTACGCAACGACCAGGTTTCTCACGCATACGTTAGGTCAGGAACTACCGTTGAGTCGAAAAGGTGGGCACGGAGTCGGGTGTTCTTTGTCCTCTTCACTATGTCTTCGATATTCTTGAAAGCACCCCAGGTCGCTCGTTTCCTTCTGCTCCGCTCTGGATTTAAGTCGTTCATCATATTGATTTTCCAACCTAGATAGCCGCAACTTAAGCATTCGGAGATACTCGTTCCTTTGGGCGTGAAGGGGGCATTCGAAAGCAGTCCGTTGTTCATGAACATCGTTTTTGTGTGATTTAGTCGAAGACCAATCTTTCCACAGGCTTTACCAAAATCGGTAAGCATTCGTTCTACTTCGCTATTGTTTGATGTTATAAGAACGATCTCATAAGCAAACCTAAAATGGTGTAACTGCCAGCCATCGATTTTCACTCCCATATTATCCCATTCTAATGTTCGCATGAGGTTTTTGAGGATGGTGGTAAGTAATTTTGGCGAGTTAGTATCGCCTTCTCCATACCCTTTTCTGACGTCGATGTTAATATTTGTAGAACGGTGATATCTTGATTGTGAAATTTTTATACAGCTCATCAAGAGTATATACTGAGCAGGACTTCTTTATTGTCCATGGCTTCCATTACTGCTTCTACTTCTGCTGAGCCTTCCTTAAATCAATGAAAGCGAGACACAATTTAAGAGTATTTTGCACTCTTGCAATAATTGAATGGGTCTTGTTATCGTGTGGATGTGGTCCATCGTACTGAATGCTTTTCGAAACTCTGCTTGATCACATAGCTGCCCTTCGTCCAGTGTTATATCAATCCCGTTTAGGATGACTCGAGTGAAAAGTTTGTAGATGACAGACAGTAAGCAGAAAGTGCGATAGTTGCCGACATCGCAGAGTTCACCCTTCTTGAACAATAGCATGCTGTTGCTGGTCATCCATTAAGTGGGGACCCTGCATTCAAACAGGTAACGTGTGAAGAGCCAAGCCAGTGTGTTTGTGAGGACTATCGGAAGGTTCTTCAGGTGTTTGGATCTTATCCTGTTCGGACCTGGTGCTGTTCGATTTTTCGCCGTTTCTGGACGCTGTAACTGTTTCGTCTGGGCGTTAGAGTGCAATCATCTTGGTCCTGTAAATGGCGAAGCTTTGGATGTTCTTTGCGAATGACTTTCCAGCCTCTGTAGCTTCGACCATTACTTCTGCTCTTCTCGCTTTAAAATCTTCTATGGCCTACCCGCGTTGTTTTCCAAGCCCGGACTTTAGTTCGCGGTTGCGTGCAGCTCGTGCGATTTCACGCTGGCATATCAGCTCGAGTGTTTCTGGTGAGAGGTGTCTCTTGCTAAATTTCGAACTGTCGGCTTTCATAGTGCTAAAGTGAGGATGCTGAATAGGCCAATCATATTTCTCATCGCTGTTATCGAGAACGGTATCTTCCCAACGACTAGTGAATCGAATAATCCCCAGTTTATGTTGATTTGGGGACTTCGTTTTTTGAATTTAGCCTCTTTTTCTCTTTTCCGCGAGAAATAGAATCTTGCACGAAGGAGGTGTTGGTCTGATCCCTTGTAGAATTTTGGGACAGCAGCGATAGTATTTAGGTCAAACCTTCTGTTCACTATGATATAGTCTATTTCTTTATGGTAGTCTCCACTGAAAGATTCCCGCGTCCAGCGTTGAGGGTGGTTCTTCTGGAACTCCGAGTTACTATGGATGGTGTTGGTCGTCATGATGAATTTAGCGAGTTGTTTACCATGCACGTTCTATTCTAATCCGTTAGTCCTAATGTGACGTTCTTCAGACGTTCTTCTTGGTCCAATATTGGCGTTAAAATCTGAAATGATGGCTTTGAAAATTGTGTGGACCTTTCTGTAGAACCAAATTGTGTGGACCAAGTCCGTATGGAACGCTTTGACTTCTTCTTCGTCATAGTTTGATATCGGCGCGTAAACGACGAAGCTTATCAAATATGGTATTAATCCACATCTCTTTAATCGTAAGCGTCCGATGCAGGCTATTCTCAAATAAATCGCTGTTCATGGACACACTCGTGTTGACGAGAACGCCGACGCCGCCGACTCCTCTATTGTTGCACGTTCCCAGGTACAGTTCTTCTCCGGTGTCATAGGTGGCGTTGAATGAATGGCGTCGTCTCGCCTTTTCCAGTCCGACGATGTCGCACCTTATCCTTCTAGCTTGCATGAGCAATTCTTCTGTCGAGGACTCAGATGCAAGTGTCCATGATTAGGTGTCTCCTTAATTCTTAGTGATTTAGGCAGCTTAGAATGGTCCTTAGTTTTTGGCAGCCTTCCGTGCTTACCCAACGCTGCCGAATCAGGAGTTCTTTTGGGGTCAGGGGAATGAGCCCCATTTCTTTTACTGCGTCTAGCTTTTTGAGACCCATGTATAGCTTGCTGAGTTATTGACGTGGGGGCTGTTTATACTCAAGGGTAGCTTGCCAGACTCTCCCAGAGTGAAGAGGAAGGCAACTCCTAAACTTTTCCGATATACTTCCTTGTCACTTGATTGCAGGTTTTTGGCGGAATTGACTCGTAGAATATAATCCGCATAAGCGAGAACGCACCCACAAACGCATGCATGAATATGCCTAGTGAATACGGAGAGTATGCGCCTAATCGGCGCTGCAGAAACAGAGAGTCCACCGCCTGGTTCCAACTGCGTCTCAGGGAAGCAGTGGTCGCTTTTTCTCCGCGATTAACTCCCTATCCGCCACCTGGGGACGCGCCACGTAGCCTCGCCACGAATCGGCTCGAGATCCCTCTTGTGAGGGAGATTCATGGCTCCTTCGGTCAAATGAGGATATTTTGCCGCGAAGCATATCAATCTAGGAAAGCAGTCCGCATTAATCACAATTGTTTTCAAGTACCCAACGTTCAGGAATCTCGTTTATGCGAAAAGCCTGATATCTAGTTTTGCATTGCTGCCACAATATCTTCTTTCATGTCTTTACTAACCTTCCCATTTTTCCGTAGTAGATGGTAATTTTTGAATAACTAGAGGTTCTATGGAGTTGAGGGTATCGCAGGAATACAGATGAAACTTTGCTCTATAGTTCTAGGGGTTTTCGTGGTGTGTATAATGCTATTTACTGTACTGTGCTGTGGTCATCATGCAACCATATTGCTTTCAGCATTCTGTATTGTTTCGTTGCGTATGTGGAGCCAATTTCTCTTTTTTATGCCTGTTCATTCCATGCCTTGACTACGATTCTTCATAGTGACTGGTAATGAAATCACAGTCGGCGTTCATCCTACCCATTCACAGCAAACTGTGGATCTCGGACGTTGTATGTTAACACTCCCACGATGACGCCTAATCTCGGGTTTCTTGCGAAATGGACCACGCCTCGCATTCAGTATTCATGGACTTGCTTATTTTTTGAAAGTAAACAATAAATTCCCGATGACTGGAGGACTTAATTGATTGTGAACATTAAAGGATTGTGGAGAACAGGTATCGTTCAACCGGTATGGGTGACGTTTATAATGCCACTTATTTATCAAACAAGAATTGCTGTTAGCATTGGGAAGTATTTTGCAACTTATCGGTCTCTACTTCAGTATTTTTTATTCGCGGTTTGTATTCAGCATTTTGTAATATTTATATAACTGTCATTTGCTGCAAGAATAAAAATTGAAACCGTAGTCGATTTAAAAAAAGCATAAAGCTCTCGGCGTTGATCAATCCCTGAGGGTTGTGCTATGCATTCGATTTCATTAAGAATC